TATATCATAGTATGCAAAGGCAAATTCTTTTTTACAAGGGAGAATAAGTATCCATAAAGTTGCAAGAAGGAAACAAAACACAACTTTGCTTGATAAGGCTTTTAAGAGCTAGGTTGTAAAAATTGACAAGAGGGACCCAATTAAACTGAAGAGCTTCTACAAAGCAAAAGAAACTGGCAACAGGACAGACAGACAACCTACAGAATGGAAGAAAATATTTGCAAACCCTACATCGAATAAAGGTCTAATATTCAGAATCTATAAGGAACAATTCAACAAGCAAAAGGCAACCCCATTAAAAAAATGGGAAAAGGACATGAACAGACACTTCTCAAAAGAAGATACACATATGGCCAACAAATATATGAAAACATGCTCAATATCACTAATAATTAAGGAATGCAAATCAAAACCATGATGAGATGCCATCTCCCATCAATCAGAATAGCTATTACTAAAAAGTCAAAAAACAACAGATGTTGTGGAAAAAAGGGAATGCTTATACGCTGTTGGTGAGAATGTAAATTAGTTCAGCCACTGTGGAAACCAGTTTGGAGGTTTCTCAAAGAACTTAGAACTACCATTCAACCCAGCAATCCCAAAGGAAAATGCATTGTTCTTCCAAAATTTAGACAATGCACTCGTATGTTTATCACAGTAGTATTCACAATAGGAAAGACATAGTGGAATCAACCTAGATGCCCATCAATGGTAGACTGGATAAAGAAAATGTGGAACATATTCACCATGGAATACTATGCAGCCATAAAAAAGAATGAAATCATGTCCTTTGAAGCAAAATGAATGCAGCTGAAAGCCATTATCTTAAGTCAATTAATACAGGAACAGAAAACCAAATACTACATATTCTCACTTATAAGTGGGAGCTAAATATTGACTACACATGGACACAAAGAGGGGACTAATAGACACTGGGGACTATTAGAGTGAGGAGGGTGAGAGGGAGCAATGTTTGAAAAGCTAACTCTCAGGTACTATGGTCACTACCTGGGTGATGGGATCACTTGTACCCCAAACCTTAGTAACATGCAATTTACCCATGTAAAATACCTGTACTGCACATGTACATTCTGAATCTAAAATGGAAGTTGAAAAAAAAGAGGAAAGCAGCAGAATTATCAGTCACTAATAATGTATTTTTGGAAATTACTGAATTAAGTTTTGTGATTTTGATGGTACTATAATGTTTCAACTGAATTTTCAAAGTAAGTGTTTTAACAAATTCAGTATGTTTTGTCAACCAAACGTGCATCTGCATTTCTGATATGATCAGGAGAAGCAATTATTCATTTGATTTTTATCAAAACCAACCAAGATTTTTTCAATTAATTCACTGAAAGAAGTGGTGATGGCCCCAATAACAGACATCTTCAATTGTACCATTAAAAAAAATAAAAGACTGCGATTAAAAAGTACACACTTAAAGGTACATGTCTGAGTGTAACCCCATCTGAAATTCCTTATGCTGTCACCAAATAGTAAATAAATAATAAAGAAAAAAGAAATGAATTAAATAAAGCCACAAAAATTATATGCATTTCCTTATTTTATTTAAGCCACAGGCTTTGTATTTTATTGCATGTTAACATTTTATAGCCATTATCCAAGGTTTTGTGTTTGTTTTTTTTTTTTAGTGAGAGATAGGGAAAGTTTTCCCATCAAAGACTACAACCTTTCTCATTTTTTTCTCAATTTCTTTTGCCCTCCATTTCCTTCCCTTTTGTTTTCCTTTCTCTTTCCTTCCCTTATTTTATTTCTTCAAACACTTATTGCCACCTACCATGTGCTCTCTGCCATCATGGTGTTTTTTATAGTTCAAGGACAATGTTCTCTTTTTCACTCTGGTTTGGCACACACACATTCATTCATTCAAGCAACATACATGAGTGCCCATGTGCCAAGCAATGTACTTCACACTAGGACATAGTGCTACAAAAAAAAAAAAAAAAGGTCCTAGACTCTGACTTGTAGAACTTACTGTCTGGTGGGAGACAGACATTAAATAATCACGCACACACACACAATTTCATTTGTGATAGGAAAGTCAAGTACAGGGTCCCTTGAGAGGGTGTAATTTTGACTTCAAACTAGTGAAGAAGGGACTCCATAAGAAGGTGACATTTAGGTTGAGATCTGGATGATGTATGAAACATAGGTGTAAACTGTGTATGTGGGTGCGTATCTGGGAAGGAGAAAAGGAAGGAAAAGAAAAGTCTCTAGTGTCTGGGTATAAAGAGGAATACCTGCAGTGGTCCTGAATTAGGAAAGAAATTGTCCCCTTAGGTGTCATAACCAGGGGAGGGTGGTATGACTGTATGAGTCAGTGGGAGGGTGGCAAGGCTGGAGGGATAGGCATGAAGTCATGCAGGGGCTCATAGAACACATTAAGGAATTTGGGCTTCATCATAAGAGCAATCAGGAGGCAGCAAAGGCTTTTTGGTAATGGAATAAAATGATCAGATCTGTAATTATAAATATCACAATATCTGCCATGTGGTAAATGGATTAGGAGTGAAACATAACTGGAAATAGGGAGACAAGTTAACATGTTAATTATGCATCCAGTTTGCAATGGCATGGTTCTAAGTAACAGGATACTGCCACTACTTCACAAATGGAATTTATATCTTGGAGGGTTATTGTTGTGGTCCAGATAAAATATTCTATGGCTTAGATTAGAGTATTCAACAGTAGAGATGAAAAGAAAGGAGGAAATTTGAGGTCTCCTCGAACAAAAACCTGACTAAACTTTGTGATTTGGATATAGTGATGGTAAAGGGAAGGCTCAGTGATATGGTTTGGCTGTGACCCCACCCAAATCTCATCTTGAATCGTAGTTCCCATAATTCCCATGTGTCATGGGAGGGATGTGGTAGGAGGTAATTGAATCATGAGGGCTGTTACCCTCATGCTATTCTCATGATAGTGAGTGAGTTCTCACGAGATCTGATGGTTTTATAAGGGACTTTTCCCCCTTTTGCTCGGCACTTCTCCTTCCTGCCACAATGTGAAGAATGTGTTTGCTTCCCGTTCAGTCATGTTTGTAAGTTTCCTGAGGCCTCCCAGCCATGCTGAACTGTGAGTCAATTAAATCTCTTTCCTTTATAAATTACCCAGTCTCAGGTATGTCTTTATTAGCAGCATGAGAATGGACTAATATAGTAAATTGGTACTGCAAAGAGTAGGGTGCTGCTATAAGGATACCTGAAAATGTGGAAGCGATTTTGGAACTGGGTAACAGGCAGAGGTTAGAAAAGTCTGGAGGGCTAATAAGACAGGTTGATGTGAGAAAGTTTGGAAATTCCTAGAAACTTGGAGGGTTCAGAAGACAGGAAGATGTGGGAAAGTTTGGAACTTCCTAGAGACTTGTTGAATGACTTTTACCAAAATACTGCTGAAGACAATGAAGTCCAGGCTGAGGTGGTCTCAGATGGAGATGAGGAACTTGCTGGGAACCGGTATAAAGGCCACTCTGGCTATTCAAAGAGACTGGTGGTATTTTGCCCCTGCCCTAGAATCTGTAGGCAGGGGCAAAACTTTGAACTTGAGAGAGGTGATTTAGGGTATCTGGTAGGAGAAATCTTTAAGCAGCAAAGCATTCAAGAGGTGATGGAGGATAAAAGTTTGAAAAATTTGCAGCCTGACAATGCGATACAAAAGAAAAAGCCATTTTCTGGGGAGGAATTCAAACTCGTTGCAGAAATTTCCATAAGTAACAAGGTGCCCAGATGTTAATCACCAAGACAATGGAGAAAATGTCTCCAGGGCCTGTCAAAGAGCTTCACAGCAGCTCCTCCCATCACAGGCCTGGAGGCCTAGGAGGGAAAAATGCTTTCATGGACCAGGCCCAGGGCCCCCTTGCTCTGTGCAGCCTTGGGACATGCTGCCCTGTATCCCAGCTTCTTCAGCACCAGTGGTGGCTAAAAGGGGCCAAGGTATAGCTTGGGCCATTGCTTCAGATGGTGCAAGCCCCAAGCCTTGGCAGCTTCCATAAGGTATTGGTCCTGCAGGTATGCAGAAGACATGTTTGGGAACCTCCGCCTAGATTTTGGAGGATGTATGAAAATGCCTGGATGTCCAGCCAGAAGTTTGTTGCAGGGGCAGAGTCCTCATGGAGAACCTCTGCTAGGGTAGTGTGGAAGGGAAATGTGGGGTCAGAGCGCCCACACAGCATCCTCACAAGGGCGCTGCATCGTGGAGCTATAAGAAGAGGGCCACCATCCTCTAGACCCCAGAATGGTAGATCCAAGGACAGCCATAGGCACTCAACACCAGCCTGTGAAAGCAGCTGGGAGTGGGACTGTACCCTGCAAAGCCACAAGGATGGAGCTGCCCAAGGTCATGGGGAGCCCACCTTTGTTGCATTAGCACGCCCTGGATATGAGACATGAAGTCAAACGAGATCATTTTGGAACTTTAAGGTTTAATGACTGCCCTATTGGATTTCCGACTCATGGGGCCTATAGCCCCTTTGTTTTGGCCAGTTTCTCCCATTTGGAATGGCATATTTACCCAATGCCTGTACCCTCATTGTATCTAGGAAGTAACTAACTTGCTTTTGATTTTACTGGCTCACAGGCAGAAGGGACTTGCCTTGTCTCAGATAAGACTTTGGACTTGGACTTTTGAGTTAATGTTGGAATGAGTTAAGACTGTGGGAGACTGTTGGAAGGGCATGATTGTGTTTTGAAATGTGAGGACATGAGAGTTGGGAGGGGCCAGGGGCAGAATGATATGGTTTGGCTGTGTCCCCACCCAAATCTCATCTTGAATTGTATTTCCCATAATCCCACGTGTTGTGGGAGGGACATGGTGGGAGGTAACTGAATCATGGGAGCTGTTACCCTCATACTCTTCTTGTGATGGTGAGTGAGTTCTCATGATATCTGATGGTTTTATAAGGGGCTTTTCTCCATTTTCCTAGGCACTTCGTGCTGCCACCATGTGAAGAAGGATGTGTTTGCTTCCCCTTTTGCCACGATTGTAAGATTCCTGAGGCCTTCTCAGCCATGCTGAACTGTGAGTCAATTAAACCTCTTTCCTTTATAAGTTACCCAGTCCTGGGTATGTCTTTATTAGCAGCGTGAGAGCAGACTAATACACTCAGTCCCTCGAAAAATAAAACCAAGTTTCTGAGATGAGTAAATTAGTAGAAGGAATATAATATATTAAGACAGTTTATTCAAAAGATGAACAGTTTTGCAGTATGGAGTGGGGAAGGCCGATGGAAGCCTCCAAAATGAAACCACTGATAAATCTGATATGCCTGTGAGATAAGGTAAAGGTATCACAGAGTGTAGGATATATAACTCTCAGGTTAAACACTGTAGCCTGGTAGGAAATATAAATTTGGTGGTCAGAGAACAATATAATGACTATGAGTTAAAGAGATCATCTGTGCCTCTTGGCGAAAGTGTAGAGGGAAAAAGTAAGGACTCAAGAAAGAGTCTGGCAGAGGAAAAGAAGCTGGAAAAGGTGACAGAGAAAAACAGAGTAGTAGGGAGTGGTGTTAAACATTTAAGCTGGAACTAATATACAAGGCAACAACAGCATAAAATTAAGATTGGCGATCTGAGTGTTTTAAAACACATTCTAAAGATACTTACATTGTTCAGTCTATATAAACATGGATTAACTTTAGATAGTTAGGTTAAGTATGCATGTTGAAATAACTAGATAACTAAATAAAAAATTTACACTTTAAAACACTCAAATTAGAAAAAAAGAAAGAATAAAGTACTAAGTGTTCAATTCAGGAAGTTAGGAAAAAGGCATAATAAGTCTGAAGTAAAAGGAAGGAAAATAAAGAGAATAGAAGAAACTAGTAAAGGGAAATAGAAACAATTCTAGAAAGAGTTTCTGCAGGGTGGGGCACGGGGGGAACAAACCCAGACACTCAGCATAGATCATACTTACTGCATTAGTTTTAAGATGTGAAGCAAGAAAGCAACCTTGCTATCATCAATTCTAATCATATTGTTCTGAAGGTACTAATCAGAACAGTGTGAAAAAAAGTGACAAGAATTCATCAAAAAGAAAAAAACTAAACTGTTGCTATCACAGAGAAATGCAATGTATTAATTAGCATTAAGAAGAGTTTAATAAGTTTTCTAAATTTAAAATTAATATAAGTCATGGAATTTCTCTACATCAGAAACAGAAAAAACAACAACTAAAAACCCAAATGAATCTCATTGCCAAATAATACATTATTAATTATAGATTTTAGGTTGTTACATTCTGAATGTTCTTAAAATACTTTTCAGTATGCAAACTGAAAATATTAGATTTGACTTGTATATTCCGAGAGATACAGAGAGAGAGAGAGAGAGAGAGAGAGAGAGAGAGAGAGAGAGAGAGACTGGTGGTGAAGAGGCAAATTGCTTTCCTTGTGCACACTAGTGAGAAATCTTTATTTGGTAAGAATTTGTTGAAGAACTTGCATATTCTAGTTCAGCTATAAAATAATCTTTCTAACATCTGGTTATCTCATACTCCCATCTAGTGGAAAGCAGCAAGTTATCCTACTACAGTATGTTCTTTACTTTTATTCTTTGGTTAACAAAAATGTAATTATACTATCACACTGCTTTTGGATCAAGTTTAAAATTATATCTTCCTGAGGGGGGAAAAAGGTGAAGTGGGAATTTAGTTCTTAATATAGCTAAATAGATCCTTCTATGGCTGTGAGCTACAGCATGCATCCCAGTAATTAGTAAAGTGATGTCTTAAAGGATCAAGGCTGTATAATAAATACTGGACTTTGGAAATTTTTACAATCTAAGTTCTACACCAGTACAACATGAATACCACAAAATAAGAAGGGTCAGATTTTAGAATCTGAAAGATAAATAGTAAAAGATACAAGTGAAATAAAGCCTGAAGGTTTCTGAAGCATGAATAAACTATGGTGAGCTGTGGCTTGGTTAAAAAGTTATATTTACTATGAAAGTGTTAAATATAAAGAGTTAAATTCACTAATTATAGAAGAACCAACTCTGTATTTTTAAAAATTATTATTTGTCTTGACAATTAGAAGAATTCACAATCTCAGGAAGCCTCTGCTTTTCTACCAATGCCTTTAACCACCCAATATACCTTTATTAATAAGTAAGTAAAATCAGGTTAAAACAACATACCAATAGCAGTAGTGGTGAGAAAGAAGAAATACCTAAGAAGTCATACTATGCCATATAATTAACAGTTTCCTAAGTAGAGAAAACCTATGATTGATTCATTATAATTTAATAAATCATGACTACATTAAAAGCCTCATCTGCATCCTCACTCCAATGTGGTGAATTGTGGTGACAGAGTCCTTGGTAAGAATGTGACCCAAGAAGGGTGGGATGGTTCTTCAACTAGAGCTGTCATCACTGAAACAGCTGGGATGACCACATCCCTTCCAGTTGCCTTACACTGGAGCTCCATTTCTACAAGGAAAAGAGCCAGCTACAAACCACTCTGCAAGAAAGCATACTATAAAACCAGCACCAGGTGCCAGGAGCTATCTATTGTGGAGATCTGTGCTATTACCAGTTACCTACTTTTAGGTTTTAAAATCTTTTTCTTAGAGTTCTAATCTACAGTGTTTTATATTTGAATCTCCCACATTTAAACTAAAACATTTTACTTTTAGAAATACCTATAAAAACTTTTAGAGTCATTTGGAAGCAATCCAACAAATTTATTAAAAGAAAAACCTTGTTGTGGAATTGGAAAAGAAAAGGATGCCACTGTGATCTTGTTATCAGAGAGTGGCCTGAGAATAAGTGGGATGTTTATCACATATTCAATTTCAGCCTAAAATAACCCAGATTCTACCCTTAAGAAAATGAAGAACTTTAAAAACGTGGTTTTATACAAACCTAAAACAAAAACAAAAACGGGGTATGGGTGAGCACAATATCCACGTGCAAGGGGCTGTTTGTGCGGTGTGTGGATTATCTTTCTTCAGGGGCTGTTTGTGCGGTGTGTGGATTATCTTTCTTCAGGGGCTGTTTGTGCGGTGTGTGGATTATTTTTCTTCAGATGATCCATAAGTAACTTCTGATGACATATATAGATTTAAACAGCTTGTTTATTAAATTTATTTGTGCTATACTGAGTTGACAGTTTTAAGAGAGTATATAAATCAGTTCCCATATTTAGCACAGTTTTCAAACCTCTAAATTTTCTAAACTGTCCTATTGAGCAGTTCTCTCTCCAGACTCTCCACAGGATGTTAAGAAAAGTTCTATGGGGAAAAGAAAAGGGAAGGGGATTCAGACTTAAGTTAGTTTAAAAGTCTTTTTCATGATTCTTTTAAAAAGATGCAAAGGTGGACTGGCAGATTGGAAAGCTCTAAGGTGTGGGGATGGAGGAGGGTTATTTGTATTAAACGCTGTTTGTACAAAAAGAGTTTAGCATCATTAACACATATATATGCAAACATTAATATGTATGGCAAATCAAAATTGTACACTCAAAACTTTACATTACAACTTAAGAGTCCTAGAGTTAAATCTAACTGGTGAAGGAAAGGGAGGAGTGAAGGGGAGGAAAGGAGGGAGAGAGGGAGAGAGACAGCCTGGGATAGCAAGTACAAGAACCAAACTACCAAAAGTATTGCCTCAGACAAATAAACATATTTACAGTTTCAAGCTGAAAGCAACCAAGAAACTATCCTTTATTCTACCAAAAGAAATTTTTTTTGTATCACTATTTGTAAAACTTACTATTTTTCCAAGGCAAGTAGTAGAAACTAGAGTGCTTTGACATGCTGCCAGCATTCGCAGTGATTTAAAAGCATGGCCATGGCATTGCTACAAACCATAATTTTAAAGGGTTGGAAGCTGCCCTTTTATAACAGGGATATACATATATGGATTTAAGCGTGGGCCTCTGTGATAGAATTCAACACAAGTATTAATCCATTTATGGTAGGGAATTTTCAGTTTTCACTCAGCTCTAAATCAATCAGAAATTCTGAACAGATGTATGTTATAATCAAGTAACACATTTTCAATAAATTGCAACTGTTTTATTGGGAGACTTTAACAAAGATAAGGCAAAACTAATAATTATGTTACTTAATATGATAAATGACATGGTTGCAATTATATTAACTATACTTCAATATGAAATAACTGGCTATAAACTGGAAACCTTGGGTCCGTGTCATACGTTTCAATAAACACTCATTCTCTCGAAATATTACTTGAAAGCATGCCCGGCAGATAGTGTTTCTTATTGGGTCGTTATCAGGCTTCCTGAACCTTTTATTTTCCTCTACTACTGTAATCACGGGCACACTGAAAAAGGAGAGAGCTCACAGTAAAAGTACACCTTTGTCCGCAAGGATGTCTGTATCACAACAATCACACCTCAGAGGCGACAGCCTGGTGCAGTTCAAAGTTCACTGGCCCTGAGAGTGAAAAATGCACATTCTAGTATCTACTCTGCCATGGAGAAAGGTTTTAGCAAACTCTGAATTCAAATTCAGCTCTGCCATCTGTAAGCCCTAACTTTGGTAAGTTGTTTAACTTTCCTAAGTCTTTGATTTATCATAAATAATAAAATAAATATTAGGAGTATTAGGTACAATCAGGTATATAAAGTGCTGTGGTAAGCAGAATTTTAAGATGGCTCCTATGAATTCTGTCCCCAGTGTTACTTTCATGATGATGTTACTTTTATATGGCAAATGGGAAATTTTCCAGGCGTGCCTAATCTAATCATGTGAGCCCTTAAAAAGCAATGAATTTTCTCTGGCTGGGAGCAGAAGGGGAAGTTGGAGGCGTGTGAGGTTCAGGAAGGATTCTAAGGAGTGTTGCTGGCTTTGAAGATGGAAGGGGCTGTACCTCAATGAATGCAAGTGGCTTCTAGAAGCTGAGAGTAGCCAGCCCCCAGCTGAGAGCAACGAGGAAACAGGGACCTTGGTTCTCCAACCACAGAAAATGAATTCTACCAACAAGAATGAGCTTGAAAGCAGATTTTTCCCCAGAACTTAAAGGTGAGAACTTAGCCTGGCCAACACCTTCATTTCAGCTTTTTGAGGTGCTAAGCACAGAATCCAGCTAAGCCAGCCCCACTACCTCAGACTTGTAATCTGAAAGATAATGGATGCTGGCCAGACACAGTGGCTCACGCCTGTAATCCTAGCACTTTGGGAGGCTGAGGCGGGTGAATCAGCTGACATCAGTGGTTTGAGACCAGCCTGGCCAACATGGTGAAACCCTGTCTCTACTAAGAATACAAAAAATCAGGTGGGTGTGGTGGTGGGCGCCTGTAATCCCAGCTACTCGGGAGGCAGGCAGGAGAATCACTTGAATCTAGGAGGCAGAGGTTGCAGTGAGCCGAGATTGCACCACTGCACTCCAGCCTGGGCAAAAAGGGTGAAACCCCGTCTCAAAAAAAAAAGTAATAATATAATAATAATAATAATGGATGTTGAGTTAATAGTTGTTGCTTTAACTTGCAAAGTTTGTAGTAATTTGTTATGCAGTAGTAGAAAATTATTACAAGTGCTCACTGGTGTGTGACACATAGAAATCATTCACAAATTATATTATTAATAACTCATGGGCTCAAAGAAGTCATTTTAACTTCCTTTGGTTTTAGTTCTTTGATCTGTAAAATAAGGTTCAACTAGTTAAGTTACAAGTTCCCCTCTAAATTTCTAATAATTCATTTTTAGTCTCCTGCAACTATGGTGATAAACCTTGATCCGGCATCTTCCATTCACCTCTCCAGATTCACTCTCCATGCCTCAGTACTCTGTGCTACTTCCCAGAAGGCTGACCCTTAAGGACTACACCGTGGGTTCCCTTGGCACTGGCAATGGGACAATGGGAGGTGCCAGCAGGAAATCAGAATGATGAAGAAGAATGAGGTCTGGGTATTTATCTCCTGGCTTCCTATAAGTATACAAGGTGATAAAAAGGAAAATGATTCCTAACAACTTTGGGGGTATGTGGAAGCAGGGGAAGGGGGTGCTGTGGACTGAACTGTATTTCCTCAGTTATATGCTGAAGCCCAAACCCCTAATGTGACTGTAAAAGCAGGGGCTTTTAGGAAGTAAAGTTAAAAGAGGTCACAAGGTGAAGGTCACAATCCATTGGAATAGGTGACCTTATAAGAAAAGGGAGAGAGATCTCTTCCTCTCCAGACACACACACACACACACACACACACACACACACACACACACGCACAGGCACACACACACCAAGGAAAGGCCATGTGAGCACATGGTGAGAAGGCAGCCGTCTGTAAGCCTGGAAGGGAGACCTCACCAGAACTCAACCATGTTGATTGATCAAGCACCTGATCTTGAACTTTCCAGCCTGTAGAACTGGGAGAAATACATTTTGTTTAAACTACCAGGTCTGTGATATTTTGTTATGGTGGCCTGAAAAGACATACATGGGCAGGGAAGAATTCTCAGAGGTATTTCTTGAGCTGAGACTTTTTGTTACCTACTGGTGGGAGGTAGGGTTTTCCAGGCAGAGAATACCAACAATAAGGCACGAAATTTCAGGGAATAGTATGTATCAAGCACTTGGAGCATAGGGTGCTTGGAAGGGCAGTGGAAGAGGCTGGAAAGGCAAGCAGAGGCCAGATGTTGGGGTTTAACATCAAAGGTCAAGAATTTTGCCTAAAAGAAGTCCAGTGGGAAACTACTGAGGGTTCTTAAGTCATCAGAAGTATATAATAGTATCCATGTTCAAAAGACCATTTATGTGGTTGTGTGAGAGGCCAGACTAATAAAGAGGTAGAGAATAATTTAACTCTGATTTTTGAAATGTACCCAGTGGAGCCCTCAGGGTCCTAAGTCAAGGATCACCATGAAGCTGGAGGAGGAGGCTAAGTGGGCAGGGTCATGGAATCCCATGTCTACCTCACCCACAGAAGTTCTGTGGCCCTAGACTAGACCTGGAATCTTTGTCACACTCAGGACAGCCAGTCTAGAATATTTTACTTCAAAGACTGTACTGAAAGAGGCTACATATGGAGGTCAAAGGCACCTGCTTCAGCTCTTTTAGCGATGGTGAAAAAGTCAGGGAATTATCAAGAATTCTGAGAGAAACGTGACTGGACTCATGCCAGGAAGATGTCAGAACTACTAAGAAATACCAACGGGGTGGACTGTTATCAACCCCAGCTGAATGACAGGCCATATGCAAAGCCCTAGACTATTATGGCTCTTAGATTTTCAGACTATACCCAATTGATTAAATGAGTCTGTGTGATAAAATTGAAAAAAAAAAAAAAAAAGGTTATTTTCATGCCATGGAGATCTGCTCTTGTCGGATATATTTTCATCTGAAAGTATCAGATTAAAATGATTAATATAGACATAAAAATGACTATAACTTGCTTTAGAGAAAAGATGATATCTCTTAGGAATGAGCTTTAAAATCTCATGAGCAGTTTTTGGCAATTGCATAGCAGAACCAAAAAGAATACAGGTTAAGTATCTCTTACCCAAAATGCTTCAGAAGTAAAATAAAACAGAAGTGTATCAGATTTCAAATTTTTTTAAAGTTTGGAATATTTGCATAAACACAATGAGCTATCTTGGGTATAGGGCCCAAGTTTAAACATAAAATTCATTTCTATTCCATATACAGCTTATGTACATAGCCTGATGGTAATTTTATACATATTTTAAATAATCTTGTACAAGACACAAAGGTTTGAATGTATTTTGACTGTGACCTGTCGCATGGTCAGGTATGTGAAATTTTCCACTTGTGGCATCATGTTGACACTCAAGAAGTTTTGGTTTTGGAGCATTTTGGATTTTGGATTTTAGGTATTATAAGATTGTAAGGTAAAAACTACGCCCAGGAGAGGGCAGTGCAGCCTTCGGTAAAGTTAACTGATAGGGACAATAGAAAACAGTGTGAGCATTAAGAGCAGAGACGTTCTAATCCACGAAAACTATTTTGTGTTAAGTCACTTTACCTTTTTAAAACATGAGAGACATACTGCCTCACTTCTATATCCCTTGAAGAGACAGCACAAGGGAGAGCTGTTTAAGTCTTGTAAAAAAAAATTCCTGGAAAACTTTAGCTCCCTAAAACTGAAGAATTGTATCAATTCTAGCAGGTTTCTACTGACTTTGCTATTTTACACATTTACCTTTGTTTCTAAAAACTGATTCAATAAATAGTTTTTAAAAGAGCTTAATTTCTAAAATTTTATTTGTTTATAATCTCCTTTAATTACACTGTACACATTTCCAAGAGCTGATGAAAGTGTGTATTCTAAAGGGTTTCCGGTGGAAATTTGTAGTACAGAAGTGGCTCTCAAATGACAGTCATCCTAACAAGATAGCTGCCATCCTAAAATTGTATAGTTATCTTTATTTTTTTTTCCTGCTAATTCTAACTTTGAGCAGACTTGTGAACTACCATTACGGACTTGACAGTCATTCATAAGCACAGGTTTCAAATACTGATTTTAGATTTATATGATATGCAGTAGTACTTTCAAAACAACCTAAAGATAAGATCTATATAAAATTCACATTTTTGACCCACTAACATGTCTTGTGTATATTTGCACTTCATTCAAACCAAGACACTACAATTAATTTTTTTCTTTAAAAAAAATTCAAGTGTTTCAATGTTTTTCATTGGTAACTTACAGCTGAAAATTTTAAAGAGACCTAAATTCAACTTCATTCCCTGATAACTAACATATAAATTCTCAATTCAGTATTCATATTTGTTTACTGAAAATGTAGAGATGAGATGTGAAGTTACTAATTTTTAAGAAGAAAATAATTAAATTATTAAACAGGGCCAGGCGTGGTGGCTCACGCCTGTAATCCTAGCACTTTGGGAGGCTGAGGTGGGCTGATCACTTGAGGTCAGGAGTTTGAGACCAGCCTTGCCAACATGGTGAAACCCCATCTCTACTAAAAATACAAAAAAGAAAAATTAGCCAGGCGTCATGGCACAAGCCTGTAATCTCAGCTATTCAGGAGGCTAAGGCAAGAGAATTGCTTGAACCAGAAAGCGGAGGTTGCAGTGAGCTGAGGTCACACCACTGCACTCCAGTCTAGGTGACAGAATGAGAGTTCGTCTCAAAAAATAAATAATAAAATAAATAAATAAATTATTAAACAGTCCTGGAGGATTACTACAAACTTATTTACTACCAGAAAGATATATTCAGTATTTCAGGCTCAAAGGAAATCCTAAAGACAGCAAGCAAATCCAACAACTCTAAATATAGTTATTATGGTCCAATTTACTAAGTCAAACTTAATGACAGTAAGAACACTTTATGTTGTATTCATTTCTCAGAAAAGACAATAACAGGTCTGCAACTTAGCAAGCATGCTGGAGAACTTGAAGATATTTCCACTGTCTAAGGAAGTATTGCAAAAAGTATAAATTACTAATGTGGTTGCAGTTTTCAAAACAATACCTCCAGAAGTGCAGTTCGAATCCTTCACATTTTTCTTTGCATTTTAAACAAGGGGCTCCAAATCCTTGCTCGTGACCTAAGCCCATCTGTTAAAAAGAAAACATTGCGAATCTATTATTACATTCTTTACAAGTCTAAAAATTCAATAAATTGCAGTTTTAATTCCACTTACCACTTGTGTTGATATAACTTTCAAACAAATCTTACGTTTAGTCAGTGATGATACCCAGGTATGTACATGGCAGTTCCAAGTACATACATAACATATTTTATATTCTGATTGCCTTTTATCATAGAAAGAAAAGCATCAGAATATAACCGTATAGAAAACTACAAATATTGCAAATAGCAAAAAGTCATGAACTTATGTCTTTGGCCACTACATGCTTCGTAGTACAGCCCTGTAGTACAACAGGTACAACACTCAGAAAACCATAGCTTAAAAAGCTCTCATCCTGAATAACATATTTTGCATCAAACAAGGCATTAAAGATTTTAGGAATTACAACTGAAGTAATATTTTTATTATGATAAATATTAATAGCTACAATATACACTTATTGAATGCCAGTGCTATGGCTTTAACGTTTGTGCTCCTCCAAAATTCATGTGGCAACTTAATCCCCAGTGTACCAATATCATGAAGCTGGGCCTTCATGAAATGATTAGGTAGTTAGGCAATGATGGCTCCACCTTCATTGATGGGGCTTCCTCTCTTCCATCTCTTCTGAAACTTCCTCCATGTGAAGATGCAGCAACAAGGTGCCATCATCTTGGAAGCAGGAAGCAAGCCCACACCAGACACTGAATCTGCCAGTGCCTTGATCTTGAACTTCCCAGCCCCCAGAACTTAAGAAATAAATTTCTATTATTTATAAATTACCCAGTCTAAAGTATTTTGTTATGGCAGCAGGAATAGACTAAGACACGAGGAATAGAGGCAAGTACTTTACTTATATCTCACTAAAATCTTACAGAACCTTTGCCCACTTTTTGATGGGGTTGTTTTTTTCTTGTAAATTTGACTGAATTCTTTATAGGTTCTTGATATTAGCCCTTTGTCAGATAAGTAGATTGCAAAAATTTTCTCCCATTCTGTAGGTTGCCTGTTCACTCTGATGGTAGTTTCTTTTGCTGTGCAGAAGCTCTTTAGTTTAATTAGATCCCATTTGTCAATTTGGCTTTTGTTGCTGTTGCTTTTGGTGTTTTAGACATGAAGTGCTTGCCCGTGCCTATGTCCTGAATGGTATTACCTAGGTTTTCTTCTAGGGTGTTTATGGTTTTAGGTCTAACATTTAAGTCTCTAATCCATCTTGAATTAATTTTCATATAAGGAGTAAGAAAAGGATCCAGTTTCAGCTTTCTACTTACAGCTAGCCAATTTTCCCAGCACCATTTATTAAATAGGGAATCCTTTCCCCATTTCTTGTTTTTGTCAGGTTTGTTAAAGATCAGATGACTGTAGATGCGTGGTATTATTTCCGAGGCCTCTGTTCTGTTCCATTGGTCTATATCTCTGTTTTGGTACCAGTACCATGCTGTTTTGGTTACTGTAGCCTTGTAGTATAGTTTGAAGTCAGGTAGCGTGATGCCTACAGCTTTGTTCTTTTGGCTTAGGATTGTCTTGGCAATGCGGGGTCTTTTTTGGTTCCACATGAACTTTTTAAAGCAGTTTTTTCCAATTCTGTGAAAAAAGTCATTGGTAGCTAAATGGGGATGGCATTGAATCTATAAATTACCTTGGGCAGTATGGTCATTTTCACAATATTGATTCTTCCTATGCATGAGCATGGTATGTTCTTCCATTTGTTTGTGCCCTCTTTTATTTCACTGAGCAGTGGTTTGTAGTTCTCTTTGAAGAGGTCAGGATATGAACAGACACTTCTCAAAAGAAGACATTCATACAGCCATGAGACATGAAAAAATGCTCATCATCACTTGCCATCAGAGAAATGCAAATCAAAACCACAATGAGATACCATCTCACACCAGTTAGAATGGCAATCATTAAAAAATCAGGAAACAACAGGTGCTGGAGAGGATGTGGAGAAATAGGAACACTTTTAGACTGTTGGTGGGACTGTAAACTAGTTCAACCATTGTGGAAAACAGTGTGGTGATTCCTCAAGGATCTAGAACTAGAAATACTATTTGACCCAGCCATCCCATTACTGGGGATATACCCAAAAGATTATAAGTCATGCTGCTATAAAGACACATGCACATGTATGTTTATTGCAGCACTATTCACAATAGCAAAGACTTGGAATCAACCCAAATGTCCATCAATGACAGACTGGATTAAGAAAATGTGGCACATATACACCATGGAATACTATGCAGCCATAAAAAAGAATGAGTTCGTGTCCTTTGTCGGGACATGGATGCAGCTGGAAACCATCATTCTCAGGAAACTATCGCAAGAACAGAAAACCAAACACCGTATGTTCTCACTCATAGGTGGGAATTGAACAACGAGATCACTTGGACACAGGAAGGGGATCATCACACACCGGGTCCTATTGTGGGGAGGGGGTGGGGGAAGGGATAGCATTAGGAGATATACCTAATGTAAATGACGAGTTAATGGGTGCAGCACACCAACATGGCACATGTATACATATGTAACAAACCTGCACGTTGTGCACATGTACCCTAGAACTTAAAGTATAATAAAATTAAAAAAAATATATATATATATATATACTTTATCTTTTAGCAGTTACATATTTGAGTTAAACCAACTTTTCTTCATGTACATCAACCAAAACGGCATATCAGAATAGCAGATATGAGAATCTAGATGTTGTCTATTAGAGGGTTTTCTCGTAAAAACGTTACTTTTCTCAGTGTTTTTTGTTTAGAAAATATTTTTATATAGAATGTAATTTATTAAAAAAAAAATCTTACAGACCCATATAAAATACTTACAGAGTAGGCAATATTATTTGCCATTTTTGACACGTTTTTGCTGAAACTCAGAGATTATGGAATTTGCTTAAGATCAAAGTGTTAATAAACGGTAGAGTAGAGATTTGAGTTCAGGTCTTTCTGACTCCAAGGCCTGCGCTCTTCTGCCTGAAGCTGTAGGGAGGCGAGGAGTGGAGAGCTGTATTACCACCCTTGCTATAGTAAACCATCTTTTCTTCTTTACCATATTAAACAATAGTCTTTGAGAACTTGCTGAGACATGGCCTAATATGTGGAAGGAGTGGGGTGCAGATGGCAGAGGACACAAGATGGTAATTAAGCTCTTTTACCCAACTACCAATATTGAAAAAAAAAAAAAGAGTAGCCAGTCTTACATCAGTACAGTGGCAAACCACCAGTAACCAGATTATTCCGTGTTTTAAATATCACATCAGTGACCATGAGGAATTGGTTACTGGTTAGTGCCTAGAGTAGCAGTTCAAGCTGGACAAGTAATGGATATTTTTCAATGGCCCTCTTTTGTAACTTTACCAAGTTCTGTTTGTCACTATGCAATCAAAACCACATTGTAACTTGTTCCTTGAAAGATCAGTCTGACATGCCCTGAAGTTGAAGTGAAGCCTTTCCTTTTGTTCTAAAGAAAATGACCACATCCTTTTTCCATAATTAAGGCCATATTCAAACCCAGCTGGTCCACCCAGCTGCTTAAGGGAACCCACATTACTTTTAAGTTAGACCATATAAAGTATACTCTCTAAAGAATAAACACCTGCCCAGCATTAGTTAAGCTTTATCATCTTTGCCATGTCCATATTA